CTGCCTGACCCCCCAGCTCTGTAGTCAGTTAGATGACCCTACGTGCTCCTATAACAGCACGGGTGTCTCCCTACCTTAGCTCTTACCTTGCTGTGTTGTAATGTTCTGTGACCTGTCTCCCCCAGTGCTCTGTGAGCTTTCTGACAACAGAGGTGGCACTTGCTTGTCTTTGTGGTTCCAGTGCATTTCATGTACTAGGACCTAGTAGGTGCTTAATAAATGTTTGTCAAGTAAAATTAATGAATCAACAAGTCAATGAATGAATGTGTACAAGTGCACTTGTGGGGCAGTGGGGGAGAATTCCTAACTTCTAGATTTGACAGTCTTGAAAAATGCAAGTAGTTCCAGTCCCTGTTGTTCATTGTCTCCATTAATATAAGCAGACTCCTAAAGATTGCTAGAATATAGAAAAAGCATATTTTTTTTTAGGATAGGATGGGAGGATGGACCTTGTGTGGCCATATACAGTCAGCCCTCCATATTTGGGCATCTACCCAAAGGAAATAAAGACTCTATAAAAAAGACATCTGCACTCGAATGTTTATGGCAGCACAATTCACAATTGCAAAGATGTGGAAACAACCCAAGTGCCCATCAATCCATGGGTGGATTAATAAAATGTGGTATATGCATACCATAGAGTACTACTCAGCCACAAAAAACAATGATGAACCAACACCTCTTTTATTATTCAAGATGGAGCTGGAGCCCATTCTCCTAAGTGAAGTATCACAAGAATGGAAAAACAAGCACCACATACACTCACAATTAAGTTGGTACTAACTGATCAACATTTAAGTGCACATATAGTAGTAACATTCACTGGGTGTCAGGCAGGTGGGAAGGGGGAGGAGGGGATGGGTATATTCACACCTAATGGGTGCAGTGCACACCATCTGGGGGATGAACACATTTGTAGCTCTGACTTGGGCAGGGCAAAGGCCATATATGTAACCTAAACTTTTGTACTCCTGTAATATTCTGAAATAAAAAATAAATAAATTTTTTAAAAAAGCTTTCATGTTGCTTTTACAATATAATTTTCAGAAAAATTAAAACATATTCTAGGCTTTGCATAGTGGCATTTACATTTATTTAGGAAA